AGGAAGACCTGGCTTTCATTCCATTTTTAGAAATATTAGCTTTCAGAAACTTGCAATTGCATACAGATTTGATGTTCTCCTTGTAAAAGAAGCATTGTGGTTTCAATTTTGTCGATCACATAGATGCAGGAAATCTGAAGGTTGTGTTTCTTTGATGCAGATCAGTTATTGAAGTTCGTAATGGTTTGACATTCCTCGACTTGATTGTCAAGCAAATTGAGGTACCTGTGTCTCAATGGATCATTTTATCCGTCATGATGTTCCACTTTTGCCTGTTCACCGGTTAACTCTTGCTCTTGCTCTTGCTCTTGCTCTTGCTCTTGCTCTGTAGGCGCTCAATGCCAAGTATGGATGCACTGTTCCCCTTCTTTTGATGAATTCGTTCAACACCCATGATGATACACTGAAGGTGAAATAATTTAACTTTGATGTCTACTCTTCCACGGTTAACTTTTTTCCTGTTTGGCTGAGCGCAAGTGATGACTTCTTGCTGTTTCATTCCCTATGTAGATTGTAGAAAAATATGCAAACTCGAACATTGAGATTCATACGTTCAATCAGGTTAGTGTCAATTACCGTTAAGTATCAACCAGCTTGTATCTGCATTGAAAAGTTTTGGATTTGAAAAGATAAATTATTGTTTTCTGTTAAATATGTACAGAGCCAGTACCCTCGCTTGGTTACCGAAGATTTCTCCCCACTTCCATGCAAAGGCAATTCTGGAAAAGATGGATGGTAATTGACAGTTTAAGATGTGGTTTCCCTGATGATAGCCTTTTAAAATTGAATCTTAATCACACTCTGGAACATGTAAATTTTCCCTGTTGAGTTATAATAATAAAGTTTCATCCTCTCTCTTCCTTTAAATCTGAGATAAGTTAGATATAAATTCACTTCATTTAAAAATAGTTAGATCAAAATCAAATCACTGAAATTATGATTTTCCTCTTTCTCTTGCTAGCAATTGGGGTTTCATTGTTCTGTTGATCTGAATAACCTGTAACTTATAATGAAAATTTATCTTCATTTAGCTCTGTCTGTAATTTTTTGTTTCATTGGTTATATATTCTACTATTTTTTCTGCTTCAAAAATGATAACTGAAATGCAAGTAATTTATGTTATGAGACAAAATTGTTTGCTAAAGCTGGCTGTTTCATTGGTTTAGCTTGCTGAATTGCTTACTCCAACCAATGTTTCCAGTCGAGTAGACTTTAAGAATTATGATTCCTCGTCCATCTTTTCTAGTTTTTCTTTTGTAGATATAGCTACATTCACTTCGTTCAAGTACATTGTTCTCATATACAGGTACCCTCCAGGTCATGGTGATGTTTTCCCTGCTTTGGTGAATAGTGGAAAGCTTGACGCACTACTAGCAAAGGTTTTGGTGCTCATAATTATTGCCTTCGTCTGATTATGGCAGGCATCTGGCAGCTTTTTTACATTTACTGTTTGCTTGAAATGTTTCCTATTAATTATTATATCTTTCAATCTTCCACAGGGCAAGGAATATGTCTTTGTTGCGAACTCAGATAACTTGGGTGCCATTGTTGATTTGAGTATCCTTGCTACGATTTTTCATTGTTAATTACACTACAGTTCTTTTGTATGCATTTAATGACATCTCAATCATGAAAAATTTTCTCAGTAAAGCTATTCTCAATTGTCATGTAAAGTGCATTGTCTTCTCCTTAATTTTGCATTGCAGAAATCCTAAATCATTTGATCCAAAACAAGAACGAGTATTGCATGGAGGTATTGACTTGATATTGTTCTTTTAGAACTGCATCTTCCTAGGTGAAAATAGTATATAGTTTCTGCGATGTTACAGCTTGATGAGTATTGCAGGTTACACCCAAAACTTTAGCTGATGTCAAAGGTGGCACCCTAATCTCATATGAAGGAAAAGTACAGGTAGTGCAATTTATATTTTTTGTTTTAGATTCTTATCTTTGAAGCTCAGAAGCAATTCCGGTCCATGTATCATCTGGAGCACATAGATGTTTCGATAACAACCTACAAACAAGTATAACTAAACTACCTAGATCTTGTGTACTTAACTTCAACATTAAAGTATGTCTATAGGAGGAGTTCTGTGGTCACCCCTTCATATTGCTACCTCCCAAGATGGCACATGTGACCATGAAAAGGCAGTACCTGTGAAGTTAAATATAGTTTGATGATGTGCTTGTATGAGATCTTACTCAAGACAAAGTGCACACCAACTCTGAGATTGGATCTTAGGTGTTAAGCACTAATCCTATGCAGAGGTGGCTGTATCATTGCGGCATTGGGTTCATTCGAGCCCTGTATTGTTGATGTGGAACATAAAATTTTAGGTAAAAATACACTTAAAGTTGCAACAAATAATAGATCTGAACCCATTTTTTTTAGAAGTACAATGGTTCAATGTTAAGAATCAAGATTGAACTTTAGAAGGTGAATTTGGTCTTTGGTCTTGGTGATTTCAACTGTACCTATGAGTACACATCTAATCAAACTAACTTAAATTGGTGCCTCCTATTATAATTAATCAGTTAATTCAATCTTCTCTGTAGCTATTCCCAGCTGAGATACTTTAAAAACAAATTAGTTTGAATTGCGTATAGGAAGTCCTTCAAATCTGCTGGCACTCATTGTAATTTTCTCGCTTCTCTAAGAGACTCAGGATAGTTATGGTGCTCTGTTTGCATGCGTTTTACGTCATATCTATCAATTTGCTTATTAAACATCTGTTTTGTGTGGTGCTGCAGCTTTTGGAAATTGCACAAGTGCCTGATGAACATGTGAGTTGTGTCTTCTGTTTACGCTTTGATGCTTTATATGTAAATGTTATTAGAAGGTGGAAACTGGAAAGTTACTTAGGTTTCTAAATGTACTGCTTTTAGTCCACAGTTCTCTAATTGGACTGAAATTTGTTATTGAAATGTATATATCCATCTACATGTTATGTAGCTAGTGTCAAGTTGCAAATGATCATTTATTCTGCTAGATCAATATTTGGTGGTATTATTCAACAAGATGAGTTTGAGGTTGCATTGCTTTTTCTTCCCCAGTTTGAATTTTATCCTTTTAACATGAAGGATGTACGTGATTGTTCTTTCCATTTCATCCAAGAGGTAGCTAGTTTTGATGTTCAGTTTTCACTTTCTTGATGCAGGTTAACGAATTCAAGTCAATTGAAAAGTTCAAAATTTTCAACACCAACAACTTGTAAGTCAGAATAGTCTTATGACCTACTTTAAGCTTTATATTGGACACTTCCTTGTCAATGAAGCATGTGGTGAGTGAATCCTTGCTGTTGTGCAGGTGGGTGAATCTGAATGCTATTAAAAGACTTGTAGAAGCAGACGCACTCAAGATGGAGATTATTCCCAACCCGAAGGTATCAGTTTCTGTTTGTTTAGCATGTGTCCAAAGTTGTAACGCTTTGTATAAGTGCCTGAGGTAGCCAATCTTTGTTGTCAGGAAGTGGACGGGGTCAAGGTTCTTCAACTTGAAACTGCTGCAGGTGCTGCAATTAAGGTATGCAACCTTAACTCTGTACCTTTAAATACCCAAATTCATACCTTTAAGTCCTGATATTTTTCGTATTCTTGGTTTCTCTTTCTTGGTGATATTTTCCCCCATCAAGATTACTCATTACCATTTTATTCAACCAGTTCTTTGACCGGGCTATTGGTGTTAATGTTCCTCGATCTCGTTTCCTTCCGGTGAAAGCAACTTCAGATCTGCTGCTTGTCCAGGTTAATTGCAACCTGAGATTGTGTTGATTTCTGATAATATCCATCCCAGTTAGCTTAAGTGGTATTTGGTGTGCTCATTCACCTTTTTATCTTTGCAGTCTGATCTTTACACCTTGACTGATGAAGGCTATGTTATCCGGAACCCAGCTAGGTCTAATCCATCAAACCCAGCTATCGAGTTGGGACCTGAATTCAAGAAGGTTAACATCAACTCCTCAAGTAGATTAGTGCTGTAAAATTATGTGACATTTGGCTGAATGCAGTTACTATCTTGTCTTCTTAGGTGGCCAACTTCTTAGGTCGTTTCAAGTCTATACCCAGCATCATTGAGCTAGATAGCTTAAAGGTGACGGGTGATGTATGGTTTGGATCTGGAGTTACTCTGAAGGTAATTAGCAAATCTTTGTTCTGTTTAACGTATGCTCCCATGTTGATGACATATTGTGTTATTTCAGAATCTAATATTGTCTCGCATCTTCTGACTTTCCAGGGGAAAGTAACTGTTGCTGCCAAATCCGGAGTGAAGCTAGAAATTCCAGATGGTGCTGTGATTGCAAGCAAGGTAAATACAGTTGATCTAAACTACTAGTGGAGCTGCTAGATTTAGATTTAACTCAGTTTTTTGACGCTGTTACATCAATTTCCAGGATATCAATGGACCTGAGGATATATAGAGGAGCTACTGGTGCTAAATAGATTTAGCGAGTCTGCAGCAAGTACATTTTGTTTGTACTGAATGTAATTTTGCCTCAAAATTTAAATAAATGAACAATTTTGACTGTTTGCTTCAGAAATCTTTGTTGTATACCTTATGGAACTCGATATAGTTTGTTTCTTCATATTTCTGTAGCTTGTCTACTTCGTTATTTTCAGGGAATTTGATATACGTCAATCAGCCAAATTTCAACTGTTTGCTTAAGAAAATATATGCAAAATCTCCTATATGTTTGAAGTAACATCAACAGATGTTTTTGTTATACGATTTTGTTGGATCTTTTTATTCTATTTAAATTGTAAGTGGCCGCTTTTGTTGGATCTTTTTATTCTATTCAAATTGCAAGTAGCTCGGGAGTTCATTTTCGTCTCAAACCTGTCGACTGGGTAAAATAGTTGGGTTTCATTGCATGACATACATACAACTCGAGACCAATTGAAGTCCAATATATAAAATTGAAATCAACTATATAAAATTTCCATATCTACCTAACCCCATTCGAGCATATATGCTAATACTAATAGATTCTACAAAACCATATTTAGCCGCAGTTAACAGATGAAACTGAAAGAGGATAACTAAAGGTATTGGCATACTGAAAAGTAATTGTTTGTCCAGATGTTAAAGGCTTTCCGTCATTGACAAGACAGTCATTATAAGCAAGTCTTCTGAAAATTGTAGGGTTTATGAGTCTTGCTGAACTGAACCAGCCACAGCTCAGGTGAATGTTGGAGATGCTGCTACAGCTTTCAAAGACGCACGCGTTCGAGACGATGACTGTGTATGTTGGAATGCCATTTGGAAGTGTCCCTGAGGGACCTTGGTTTACTGTAATGTAGTCTTTTGAACATGATGTTGGCCCTATTCTGTACTCACCAACATGTCTTTCTCGAGTAGTACCACTTTCCTCAGCTGGTTCCAATGCATGGTTAACTTGCATCACTGCATTCAGTACCATCAAAAGATATTAGTAAGAAAGATTTTGATCAACATTGAACATTCATGATATTTAAGAGTGAATGGAGTCAACCCCCAAGGAGGAAAAATTCTCAAAAAATTAACCGAAAGAAGGGCAAGGGTAGCCCCGTGTACAAAATATCACGTGTTCATGCAGAGTTGGGGAAGGGTTCAGGAAGGGCCACATTGAGGGGCGAAGCTACTTTTTGCTAAGGGTGGTCTTTGTCGAAATATTACATTGTGTACAGTGGCGGATATAGTGTTGTATCACCGGCAACTGAATCCATAAATTTTGACGTGGAGTAAAAGTTTATGTGTAAAATTTCATTAAAATTAGAAAAATATTATATATAAACCCAAAACTTTTAAAATGTAATGGATTCAACACTAAAAACTTTACAAGTTGAACCCATAAAATTTAAATCCTGAATCCATCTCCGATTGTGTATATAAGTAAAATATTAGATTTTAGATGTATAAAATATATATCGAACATCTTTTGTGGGGAAATTTTTTTACTTTCTTTCAAGTCTAAACACCCCTGGGAAAATTTCTGGCTTTGCCACCGGCCACATTCCCAAGGGTGTGGCGTAAACAGCCTACTCTAATGCAACCTTTAGTGGTTACTTCCAGACTCGAACCGTAACCTATAATCACACCAAGACAACTTTACCGTTGCTCCAAGATAGAACATCCTACTAGAATTCTCCAACTCCTTTTTTCTTTTCTGGTAAAGACTATCAAAAGCATTAAAAAAAGAAAGACAATGAAAGGGAGAAGGAAAGAAGAGAGGCCCTATATATTTACCAGAGAATGAAACAACCAAGAAAACCAGAACGAGAAGGCTGCGTTCACCATTAATGCTCCTCATTGTCATTCAATTATATTCTTCAAATTGAAACTTCAAACAAGAAAAGAAAAACCTTAGGTTGAGAGTACGAAACTCTCAGAGGGATGGGATATTTATAGTGTCTATGTAGTCACTTAAAAGGAAGTTTGTATATACAAACATTAATTAGTAACCATCGAAAAATGGAAAACAAAATCGTATATTAGGGCAAAATATATTCATAGTGTAAAGAAATTCTTATTTAAAAATAAGGCAAACTGCACGTGATGCTCTCTACAAACATTAATTGGTAACCTTAAAAAAGGAAAATAATATTTCCTATAATAGATCAAAATATATTAGTGTAAGAAAATTTGTACACTTTCAATGTATATAATTTAAATCTTAAATATATTTAAGTTGTTTATTTATAACGAAGAGGTTTAATTATTAAATACTACTAGTAGTAGTAGTTCATGCACAGGCGAGTTATATTACTGTTATTTAATAATGTCATGATGAACACGATTAATTAATGAAGAAGTTCAAATAATCATCAAGAACCAGTTCAACTGCTATAAAATTGCATTGAATTCTTTAACCTTTTGTTCATTTAAAATATTAATGGTTTTGGCTAATTATTTACAGCTTCAAAATTTCACTACATTTTAATTTCCATTAATTCATCTACGATGCATGAATAGCTAGAGAGTGAAATATAGGGCAAATAGCAGCACGGTGCATAAGGCATCCCGCGTTAATACAAGGTGCATAGAAAATGACTGCATTTTTTCCACTTCCTACCAGATTCTTTACAAATATCGCTAAAATTTTTAATTTAGTTGCATGATCCTTTTCAAGGGATATCAGTAAAGAATAACACAAACGATTTAGTAAATTTGTTATTTCTCAGTATTTGTACAAATATTCTGAATAAAATAAATAACATAAACAGAAATGTAAATGAAATAAGAAAAACTATATCGAGCCCACTGAATTCACAGTGTTTCCTTAAGGAATTTAATCCCCTCCTAGTACCCAAGGTTATGAATTATTTCCTCCCAGGATAGAACGAATTATACACTGGTGTAGTGGTACTTCAAACCCCAGTATTTCAGCGAACACAAAGTTCAGTAGCAAATCACACTTACTGTTGCTTTCTTTGAAGTAGGGGTGGACATTCGGTATTTTGGTTCGGTATTTAATAATTTCGGTACGGTATTTCGGTATTCGGTTTATTAATTGTGTATACCAAATTCCGTACCAAAATATTTCGGTACGGTTCGGTATTTATTATTTTGGTTCGGTACGGTTTCGGTACGGTTTCGGTTTAATATTCGGTGATAAAGAACAGGGAAGTGACGAACTGCACTAAAAAAGTAAAAATAGAGTGCTGAAATTGCACTAAACTTTAACATTGCACTAACTTTAACACTGCACTAACAAGGAGAAACATTGCACAAATTGCAAATATATAACTTTATATGCATCCACTATCCACTGCATAAAACATAGATGTTTCTCAAGCTCCATACTAGTATTGCCATTTTCATATATTCCTCTCCTCAAAGGCTCAAACTTCTGTTCACTAAACGGCCAAACACAATATCAAGCTTAACAACAAAAATACCAAACGCAAACAAATTACAAACTTAACATTCTACACTTAACAATTAACACTTAATAGTATGCTCTGTTACGAAACAATTACAGAACAAAATTACAGTCCAACTGTTCTGTTACAAATACCAGTTATAGAACAAATTACAGTCTACTTAACAGTATGCTAAATTGCTAATTTTGAGCACTAAAATGGAGTAGAACAGAACAAAAACACTGCTGGGGTAGGCTGCAAATTTTTCTCTAAAAATGGCTGCAAATCTTTTCCCTGAAAATGGCCAACCGAGCATGGGGCGTGATTGCACTTAAACCTAAACAATATATAAATCATAAGTTAGGATATTATTTTTTGATGATAATAAAACAAAACTACAAAAGTATATCACCAAACAAATAGTGTATTAAACATTTAAACTTACCACTCAAGTTGCAAGTTGCAACTATACATCAAGCAATGCTAGTAGTGTTTCCATTATTGTCCATATCTAAAGATAACTCGACAAAATATGTCAATGACAATGACAAATAAACAATTATGATATATTATTTTGAACTAAAATACACACAAAATATTAAAGCTTACCAAGCTCGAGTTCCTCAAGATACTTCAAGTCTTCTTCAACACTAATAAGATTCTTCTCTTCTCTAAGCCAATCTTGAACACAAATAAGAGCTTGCACACATTTAGGAGTCAATGAACTCCTAAATGAATCAAGAATACGACCACCGGTGCTAAACGCGCATTCCGACGCCACACTAGAAATTAGAATGGCCAACACATCACGAGCCAACTCCGAAAGAATAGGAAATCTAGGAGCATGTGTTTTCCACCAACTTAAGATATCAAATTCTTCACTAAAAGGCTCTTGTTCTTCACTAATGTATTTATCCAACTCCGATTTAGCACCCCCACTTCCATTGTCTTCCTTTTGTTTCTTCAAGTGAAGCTTCGTCCTTATTAATGATGCAGTTATAACACTCCCACTAGATGTATTAGATGTGTTATTAGATGAAGCAAAACTAGATGGAGATTGAGGACAAAATCCAGTTGAATACTTTTTTAGATACTCTTCAAACAAAGAATTCATATAAGCATACACCTCGGCATTTATTTTCTTCCCCTTTTCCTCCCCAAAAAGTTCTTCAAGTGCTCCCTCTACATATTCAAATTTATTACGTGGATCCAAGACGGAAGCAATAAAAATCATTTTATTCATCTTTTCAGGCTCACCCCAATACTTCTTGAACTTTTCTTGCATCCGCTCAGACATTTTTCCCAAATTTTCATCCTCACTAACTAAACACATTTTCAAATGACAATAAAGTTCAGATACATCCTCAAAATGAGCATTACAAGTGACATAACGTGAACCTGAAACTTTTCTGGTGAGCTCGTGAAATTTTGCAAGAAACTGTATCACATTCCTCACATTCACCCAATCATCAGATTCAAGAGGACCTGCACTACTACCATCTTCACTAGAACATTGATAAGCAGAAAATCCATCATCAAAAAGATGAAGCTTGTCAAAGGCCTTTTCAAAGTTTTTTGCCGTATCCAACATCAAATAGGTGGAATTCCACCTAGTAGGAACATCCAAACATAATGTTTTGGTACATTCTACCTTTATATGTTCACAACACTGTTTAAACTTTAAGGTCCTTGCAGGCGAAGCTCTCACATACCTCACAATATCTCTAACACGTGAGACAGAAGCATCAATTTCTTTCAAACCATCTTGCACAATTAGATTTAATATATGAGCCATGCATCTCACATGAAGATGTTTACCACCCATCATATTAGTTATCCACATATCTAACTTTTTAGACAATTCTTTGGCTGTGACATCATTTGAAGAAGCATTGTCCACAGTAATAGTGAATACCTTGTCTAATTTTCATTCAAGCAAAAAATTTGAAATAGATTTAGCCATCTTTTCACCCTTATGACTAGTGATTGGGCAAAAATTTATTATTCTTTTATGCAACTTCCAATCCCTATCAATGAAGTGAGTTGTCAAACACATATAATTTATTCTTTGTAATGAAGTCCATGTGTCTGTTGTGAGGCAAATTTTTGGTTGTGCTTCTCTAAAAGACTTTCTTAGATTTTGGTTCAATTCACCGTAAACTTCATAACAATCCCTTGTTATTGTTCTACGGGAAGGAAGATGAAATTGTGGTTGAGTTTTTCTCATAAACTTCATAAAGCCTTCATTTTCTACAAAGCTAAATGGTAGTTCATCAATAACTATCATCTCAATTAAGGCCCTCCTAACCACTTCTTGATCAAATTTCCAAAGTGATCCTTCATCACTTTGGCAAAATTGAAAATTTAACTTTGTTTGACTTTTATCTTTATCAATGTTAGGTGGGTATTCTTTGCATCTATTCAAATGAGATTTCAAACCGCTTGTTCCATTCTTAGATGAGTAAAAAGCAAAAGCTTGCTTACAATATCTACACCTTGCTTTACCAACCCCATTTACCTCAACTTTATCAAAATGATTCCAAACCTCGGATCTAGGTTGCATGACTTTTCTTTTCTTAGAATCTTGAGTATCAATGGTGTTGGTGTTACTATCTTGAGTAATAGGGAAGCTTTCACTTGAACCGGCAACACTATTTAAACTTTCATCTGCCATCTATACAAATAGAGATAATATAAGATTGTATGATCCTAAAATCTTGAGTAAAATCCTAAATGTGGTCCATAAAATTGAATTTATGCTAAAATACAATAATTATCCACAACACTGTCAATTAAACAATTTAACTTTACTTAAAGTTACTAAGTTAGTAGCTATAGAAGTGTTTGAAATAGAAGTACTTACACAGTTACACTAGTTAAACAATTTCAAACTAACCAAATACTAATCAATTAAACAATTTAACTTTCCATTTCACATTTACACTTGTTCATTTCAAACACTTCTATATAAGTACTTACACAGTTACTGCATTTCAAACTACTGCATTTCAAACTAAACCTATAGAAGCTACTGCAATTCAAAATTCAAACTAAACCTTACTGCATTTCAAACTAACCAAATAGGTCAGATATAATAGAAACATCAAACATAGACAATAAGAAGAGTGCAAACTGCAAAGACAAGAATAAACCCATTTATCAGAATAATTAAGAAAGATGAGTGAGAAAGATGAAGAATGTTTACTTGCAAAAAGAGGAAGATTTTCCTTTTGTTGATAAATGCAGATTACAGAAAGCTTCCTTGAGTTCCTTCAACCAACGCCCCCTTTATTGTAGTAGGAAGCTATCGGAATCACCAACGCGGCAAGCCGGCAACGTCAGACGGAAATGGTGACTAAGACTCTGAGAAAGTGAATTGTGAGTCTGTGAAAGTCACAAAGCGCGGGTGAAGCCGTGAAGAAGACTGAAGAGAACTAGAGAAGACGGAATTGGAATTTGGAAATGTCGAAAATTAAAATGGTGACCTAATTGGAGAACTAGAGAAGAAGACTGAAGAGTGAAGAGGATCAGAGAGGAAGAGACGACAGAGAAGAGTGAAGACGGAGGAATTTGGACATGTGGAATTAGGTTAAAGTAATTTAGATTTTAGAAATTACAGTCTTTAGACTTTAGGAGTGGGCAGTTGGGCTTGGGGGTCACTTGGGCTTGGGCGTCGGCGATTGGGCTGGGCTGGGTGAGATATAGGTACTTAGGTAGGGTAGGGTCCAAAAACAAAATGTCTCTAAAATTTCGGTATACCGAAATATTAAAAATCCAATACCGTATACCGAACCGAAATACCGAAATACCGGAATTAATGTACCGAAATAAATCGAAATACCGAAAAAAACCGAAACCGAAATACCGAATTAATTCGGTTCGGTTCGGAATTCGGTTTTTCGGATTTTATGCCCACCCCTACTTTGAAGTAAAACTATGCAGAAGGAAGGAGAAGAAGTCATAAATTAGTATGTAAAATCTGAGAGAATAGGCTTGTATTTATAGCCAAAGTTGGGCTGAAATCTGAAGAGGCTGTTTTTGCAAAACGCCCATAGAATAAATGCCATGCCATAATTGGCTATTTACTCAACAATAAAGAGGGAAAATTGAAGGGTAGTTAATTTTCTGTTACAATAACAGAAAACTGAAAATTGAATACCTGAAATGGATTTAATATTAATATTAATTTTAATATTAATATTTTATTATTAAACAAATATTTAATTATATTTCTGTTAATATTTAATATTAACAAATAAATTTGGTCCAAAAATTAATCAATCGATCATTTGACCAAATCCGAAGCCGAAGCCGAGCCGAGCGAGCGACGACGGCGCGAGGCTTGCCTTCTTCTCAACTCTTTAAGAGCTAGAAGAAGAGCAATTGCTTATATACCCATCAAAAATCTTTTCCTCTTCCGATATGGGACAATCAAGGAGGGAACTTCAAATATTACTCAAATATTTTATTTTTCCCTCTATTCCCATTCACCCTATTTTAAGCTTATTAATGCTTAAAACCCCAACAATCCCCCACATGAATGGGGAATGGCTATATCAAGGAAGTATGCATGAAAAAAAATTGTGTGATTCGCAAGCAAGAATTAATTGCATCTGGATAAGTAGGTTTCCCTTTGAACTTTCCGTAGTGAACTTATGTCGGATATACTCGATCAATCAGTAGATTTGATATCTTTGAACCGTCGAAATTTGGTGTATACCTAGACAATCACAAGTCACACAACCAACCCTTAACCGTCTTTGGTTCTCATTGTTGTGTTCGTTTCAGCCATGAACATCGCCTGGTTTCATAAGTGCATAGAGAACTGGCCTTGCAAAATTCTCCTTGAAGAGGCTAACACTGCACACTTACACAGGTGATTCCTAAACGTGTCATCCCGTAGATGCACTATTTGATATACCCCGTATCAAATTTAGAAATCAGTAAAAAACCTTAATGCTTTATCCTTGTTACTGAACATTGCCTCATCACGAGAATGGACCAAAAGTTTAGTCGACAATGTTGAACCGTCATTTATGACTTTGTTTGATCTCCTTGAACCTAGATCTTGGGATCTCCAGTCTTCTAGGTAGAGTTACCGCCACTATGACTTGTTCTCGGCCATAGTCCCATTCCCCTTGATAATTTCTCAACTATCTCTCTAGTTAGGCCTTTTGTAAGTGGATCCAACACATTATCACTTGACTTTACATAGTCAATCGTGATAATTCCTTTAGAGAGTAATTGCCTAACGGTTTTATGTCTTCGTCGTATATGACGAGATTTACCGTTATACATAACGCTCCCGGCCCTTCCAATTGCCGTTTGACTATCGCAATATATGCATATTGGAGCCAACGGTTTGGGCCAGAATGGAATGTCTTCCAAGAAATTTCGGAGCCATTCAGCTTCTTCACCGGCTTTATCTAAGGCTATGAACTCAGCCTCTATTGTGGAGCGGGCAATACAAGTTTGTTTGGACGACTTCCAAGATACCGCTCCTCCACCAATAGTGAATACATATCCACTTGTGGACTTGGAATCAGTTGATCCGGTGATCCAATTTGCATCACAATATACCTCAATGACTGCAGGATATTTATTGTAGTGCAAAGCAAAGTCCTGGGTATGTACTAAATACCCCAAAACTCGTTTCATGGCCATCCAATGAGATTGACCTGGATTGCTCGTATATCGACTCAATTTACTTATAGCACAAGCTATATCTGGTCGTGTACAATTCATGATGTACATTAAGCATCCCAACACACGAGCATAATCCAATTGTGATATGCTTTGGCCTTTGTTCTTTGCTAATGCAAGATTCACGTGTTTGCAACTTTAAATCCCAAGTACTTGAATTTTTCAAGTACCGTCTTTATATAATGAGATTGTGACAATGCCAGACCTTGAGAAGTCTTATGGATTTTAATTCCCAGAATTAAATCAGCAACTCCCAAGTCTTTCATATCAAACTTGCCAGCTAGCAATGCGCTTAGTCGCATTTATGTTGGCAATATCATTACTCATTATCAGCATATCATCCACATATAAGCAAACAATGACTATGTAATTTGGAAAATTTTTAATGTATACACATCTATCACATTCATTTATTTTAAAACCATTTGACAATATTGTTTGGTCAAATTTCGCATGCCATTGTTTGGGTGCTTGTTTTAGTCCGTAAAGGGACTTAACAAGTCTACATACCTTCTTTTCTTTACCTAGAACCACAAACCCTTCAGGTTGTTCCATGTAGATTTGTTCTTCCAACTCTCCATTTAAGAAGGCCGTCTTAACATCCATTTGATGAATTTCAAGACCATAAACTACAGCTAATGCTACTAACGTTCGTATGGACGTAGTTCTTGTAACTGGAGAGTATGTATCGAAATAGTCAAGTCCTTCTCGTTGTCTATACCCTTTAACCACAAGTCTTGCCTTAAATTTGTCAATAGTGACATCATCTTTCATTTTCCTCTTAAAGATCCATTTAGAACCCAACGGTTTATTTCCAGGAGGAAGATCAACCAATTCCCATGTATGGTTGTTTAATATGGATTCTATTTCAGTATTGACTGCCTCTTTCCAAAACAATGATTCCGAAGAAGACATAGCTTCTTTAAACGTTTGAGGCTCATTTTCCAATAAGAAAGTCACAAAATCTGGTCCAAATGAAGTAGACGTTCTTTGACGTTTACTACGCCTTGGATCCTCCTGATTAAATGTACTTTCTTTTGTTTCTTCCCGAGATCATTTAGTTCTTTCACCAATCGACTCACATTCCTTTTTATACGGATATATATTTTTAAAGAACTCAGCATTATCTGATTCTATAACCGTATTATTATGAATGTCGGGATTTTCTGATTTATGAACTAGAAATCAATATGCTTTACTATTAGTCGCATATCCTATGAAAACACAATCAACGGTTTTCGGTCCTATCTTTACCCTTTTGGGTTTAGGAACTTGCACTTTTGCCAAACACCCCCACACTTTAAAATAATTCAAGTTTGGCTTCTTTCCTTTCCATTTTTCATATGGAATAGATTGTGTTTTGCTATGGGGCACTCGATTTAATATTCGATTATCCGTAAGGACGGCTTCCCCCCACAAGTTCTGTGGTAAACCAGAACTTATCAACAATGCGTTCATCATCTCCTTTAATATACGATTCTTTCTTTCCGCAATCCCATTGGATTGGGGCGTATAAGGGGCCATTGTTTGATGAATAATTCCATATTCCAAACATGTTTCTTCAAAAGGAGATTCATATTCACCACCCCTATCACTTCTTATCATTTTAATTTTCTTGTTAAATTGTGTTTCAACTTCATTTTTGAATTGCTTGAATGCGTCTATTGCTTCATCTTTACTATTAAGTAAGTAACATAGCAATATCGAGTACTATCGTCAATAAAAGTTATGAAATACTTCTTTCCACCGCGAGATGGTATTGACTTCATGTCACAAATATCTGTGTGAATTAAGTCTAAAGGATTTGAATTCCTTTCAACCGACTTATAAGGATGTTTAACATACTTAGATTCCACACATACTTGACATTTTGATTTGTTACATTCAAACTTAGGCAATACTTCCAAATTAATCATTTTCCGCAAGGTTTTATAATTGACATGACCCAAACGTACATGCCATAATTCATTTGACTCAAGTAAGTAAGACGAAGCTGAAATTTTATTATTACTTTCAACAACCATTACATTTAGCTTGAAAAGGCCCTCGGTGAGGTAACCTTTTTCCTACAAACATCTCGTTCTTACTTATTACAACCTTATCGGATACAAGTACACATTTAAAGTCGTTCTTAACAAGAAGTCCAACAGAGACTAAATTCTTCCTAATTTCGGGAACATGAAGGACATTGTTCAAAGTTACCACTTTGCCGGAAGTCATTTTGAGAAATATCTTCCCACATCCTTCAATCTTGGACTTTGAAGCATTTCCCATAGAAATCGTCTCATCGGGTCCAACTGGAGCATAAGTAGCAAAAGTTTCTTTAACTGCACAAACATGGCGAGTGGCTCCAGAATCAATCCACCATTCTTTATGATTGCCAACCAAGTTGCATTCGGAAAGCATGGCACACAAGTCATCAACATTGTCATGCTTTTTAACCATGTTTGCTTGACCCTTCTTCTTGTCTCTCTTCGGAGCACGACACTCCGTAGATTTGTGTCCGGTTTTTCCACAGTTGTAGCAATTTCCACTAAGCCGCTTCTTGCTTGGGTTGTATTTCGGACCAGAAGCCTTCTTTCTCTTTTTATTATCTTCAACAATATTTGCTCCCATTATTGTTGAATTTACACGACCTCTCTTGTCAGCAGCTTTATTGTCCTCTTCGATTCTCAACCGAACAATGAGATCTTCAAGGGACATCTCCTTGCGCTTGTATTTCAAATAATTTTTGAAATCCTTCCACAACGGAGGCAACTTCTCAATCATTGCTGCTACCTAGAATGCTTCATTGATGACAAGACCTTCAATGAAAATTCTGTTAGTAAATATAATAAAATTAATACTACCAACATTAGTATTAACTC